GGATTGGCCGCCCGCACTCTGGGCGCACGGCGCTTGCGGGGAGAGGGGTGGGCGCCGGTCACGGGCGCACGGCACTTGTGGGGGGAGGGGGCGCCGGCCCCAGGCACGCAGCCCTTGGAGGAGGCACCGGCCCCAGGCGCGTGGCTATGGTGGGGCCTGGCCCGCCAGGCCGCGCGGCTATGGGGGGGCCGCCCCCGGGCACGCAAGTGTCCCCGCCCCCTGGCACCCAGCGGGCGAACGGCCACGCCCTCTGGCGCCCGACAGGCGAACGGCCACGCCCTCTGGCGCCCGGCAACCTCTAATGGTTGGGGACCACTGGCTTAGTGTATGGGGAGGAGCCAGGTGTGGGGTGAGAGATGCTGCCCCTTGCAGCTGAGGAGCAATGGGTACAAGAAGCGGATGGAGTAGGGGGACATTTTCAGAGCTTCTTCCAGCTGTGGCAGAAATCTGGGAGTAGGTCTGACCCACCCCCAGAAACTGTGCAGGGGAAGAGTTCCCATCTTCCCCAGCCCATCCAGGACTTGGAGCTGAGCCCAGAGCAGGGTAGACCCCACCAGCTGGGTCTTCCCCCATCCCACAGTGATCTACCTCTGCCACCTACCCTGGGCACCTGAAACTTACTGCAGGGAAAGGTCTCAGGACTAATTCTTGTGGCTTTCCTTAGCTTCCCCATCAGAGAGCCATTTTTCTGCAGCGAAGCAAAGAAATCTGCAGGGATATAAATTTTGTGCACGCACCGTGGCGCAGAATTCCTCCTTGAGTAACCGGTACATTGGAGTCTTCCCTTACTCCTTTGCCTCTCCACCAACCCTGCCAGTGAGAGAGCATTCCATGTCATGTGCAATGCTCTGTACACAAGGAAGCATACTGATGCACTGACTCGGGAGCAGGGGGAATGGTCTCTGCTCCTCTGTCAGCATTGGATGGACCAGAACTAGCAATGCAGAAGTGAAAGGTTCCACATCTCATTACGAATCCCCTGGGCCATCTAATTGCCTGCAATGTGTGTTAAATGTTTCCTGTCTGAGCCACACCCATCATGTTAGGCACCCATGAATGTCTTCTCCAAAGCACCACTTGTGGCAAGGTCAGTAGAGCCTTATTTTCTACCTCTGCCCCTGAGGGAAATCAGGGCTTGTTAATCATAATCTGACCCCCCAGCTGCAGTACAGAATATAACATGCCTCGACATCTCTCTGGTATGGTGCCACTTCTTCCATAAAGACACTGATATTGAAAATGCACGTGCAGTATGGCCGACAGCCACCAAGTGTAAGGTGTGGGGGCCCCTGGCTCTGCGCCCCCAAGATGGGCAAGGCCTCAGGCAGAAGGGGTGGGGGCAAACGTAGTCAGCCCTTAGTGCCACCCAGACTGTGGCACGTCCCTCCCAGCCTTCAGCCTCACTCTGTGTGCATTGCTCCCAGTACGGTACTCTGGGAGTAATTCAAAGGGGGCAGCCGGGAGTGCGCATGTGTGTGCACCTGCATGCACGCACACACACACACCATGCATTGCTCCCAGTACGGTACTCTGGGAGTAATTCAAAGGGGGCAGCCAGGAGTGCGCATGTGTGTGCACCCGCATGCGCGCACACACACACACACACCCAACCAGCAGGACTGTGTGTGTGCATGCAGATGTAAAGAGTTGAAGCAATAAGCTCATGTGATTGTTTTGGTTCTTGTTGCACATGCTGTTTATGTTACCGCAGCAACGGCAGGCCCCAGCTGAGAACAGGGCCCCAGGGCACTAGATGCTGTATATACCTATGGTAAGAGACCGTCCCTGCCCTATACAGATTACAGCCCTGAGTAGGCACAACAAATATAAGAAAAGGAAAAACCACACACATAGGGTTGCCAGTTTTGATTGGATGTATTCCTGGAGGCTTCATCAAATGATTTAATCTTTAATTAAAGATTAATTTTTAATCCCTTGAGTGTCCAGGACAAACTTGGCAGTTTGACAAATCTAGGTGCACAAGGTCAGGATATATCTGGGAATAGACAGTTGTTATTACTATGAGGACTATAATCATTATCGTAGTGTGTGTAATATGCATATACATACACTACAATAATGATTATAGTCCTCATTGTGTGTGTGTGTGTGTGTGTGTGTGTGTGTGTGTGTGTGTGTGTGTATACACACACACACATATTTAAAATGTGGGTATATAGGCCTCATGGAGGAAGGTAAGGAAAAATTTGAAGAGGAGGCCTACTAGTTAAAAAGTCACATCATTAATGCAAAGTGTAGATGTAGCCTGAGTTAGATGAGCACCTACAAATAGCTTAATTGAAATAAATTCTAAGAAAAAAATAGATCTTTCTGATTTCTATAAAATGTACTGCACTCTAAAGTCCAACAATCTATAAAATCTCTTACCAAAACTGTTCAGTGGTCATAATGAATATTGCATGATACACTGAAAAATATATAGAGATTAAATATATATTGTCCTGGTATATACTTAAAATAACATAACCTCTTCGTTCTCTGTCCTCAATTAGGGCCTGATCTCAAACTCATAATCCTTATGCCTATCTTAAATCAGTGGAAGTCAGGTCTCTGTTTTATAAAGTTGCTGTTTGCAGTTCATACTGCAGTTACATTCATACCAGATGACTGCAATTCAGTGGCAACTGAAGTGGTTTTGTTGATGTGGAGATGTATGTAATAAAGTAATATAAAACAAACACTAACTTGCATGTAGTATCCGTTTCCATGTGAGCGATGATGCATGTGTGGAATTATGGTAAGGTGGCTCCATACAAGGAAGGAAGTGTAAAATAAAACCTATAACTTTAAGTCTGAAAGGGGTAGTTGTGTTAGTCTGTGTCTGCAAAAACAAAAGCAGTCCTGTGGCACCTGAGACTGTCTACAAAGCAGCATTATTTCAGAATAATGTCAGTTATTCTGAACTGATGTTATTCTGAAATAACACAGAGCACATCAACCCAGCAAGCTATTATTTCGAAATAATGGCGAGCTGGACTTACTCTGACTCCTGTAACCTTCATTTCACGAGTCGTAAGGGCAGTGGAAGGAAGAGTGTTCTTCCTTTGACTTCCTGTTGCGTAGACAGCACCAAAAGCTGAATTCAGCTATTTTGACTTTAATTACACAATTGATGCAGCTGAAGTTGCGTAGCTTAATTCGACTTTGCCCTGCTGTGTAGATGTGCCATTAGAGACTAGCAGATTTATAAGAGGCCATCCCTGGCATAAGCTTTTGTGAGTAAAACACACTTCATCAGATGAATTGGAGTAGAAATAACTTCCTCCTTTTTTATACTAGAACTTATATATAAACCCTGCCTCTCTGCCTCTGTAATTTCCACTCCAATTCATCTGATGAAATGGGTTTTGCCCACTAAAGCTTATGTCCTAATAAATCTGTTAGTCATTGCCATAGGACTCCTCTTTCTTTTAAGTATCACTCTAAATATACCCAAATGACCTTTTACTATAAAATATGTGGCATATACAAAATGGTGCAGTATAAATATTTTATGGACCGTTGTTTGGCATGAGCTACATAACTCCCAGGAATCTTGGAAATTACACCAGACCATTATGTATTTCTAATGGAAATACGTAATTATATTTTCCTGGAATTGACTGATGATTGTGTTCTGGTAAAGCAAGTGAAAGCCTGACTTGAAATCCAGGCAGGTAAAATACCGCTGCAACATAATAAACCTTTTCCTATGTTTTAGTATTCTAGACTCTCAAAGCAATATGGAATGGAGATCTATCTAAAGAAAGAGTTCCTTCAATACACAGGATCTGTAAAGGAGCGAGGTGTACTTTACCTGCTAACATCTCTACAGCAGGTATGACAAATTTTCCAACCCTATAAAGAACACACACAAAAAAAAGCCCCACATGTTTAACCTATATGGAACTTCATGCTGCAAAATTAAAGGTCACTGTATTATCTGTAAATCCTCCCAGATTTGTTGTATTTTCTCAATTAAGTATGTACAGGTGCGACAGTATGTGAATAAATTAATTAAAACATTGTATTCATAGCTTTCTTTGACACATCCACAACATTTTTTCATGAAATCTTATGAGAATAATTGAAGGAAAAATGTATACAGGCAGTCCCCGGGTTACATGGATCCGACTTACATCAGATCCCTACTTACAAACGGGGTGAGGCAACCCCGCACTAGCTGCTTCCCCCCAACAGACCAGGGAGACGCGGAGCGGCTTTTCTCAGCAGACACTTCAGCTTGAGAATAAAGGACTGAGGGAAGTGAGGTGTGGGAGAATAAAACTGAGCTCTGGAGAAATGTTTGGCTAGAGTTTCCCCTACAATATGTACCAGTTCCGACTTACATACAAATTCAACTTAAGAACAAACCTACAGTCCCTATCTTGTACGTAACCCGGGGACTGCCTGTAGTGTGTAGAACTCAAAGCTTTTTCATGGTGTTTGAATGAGCTGATTTTGATGCATATTATATATTACTGGACTGACAAAAAAAATGTTGAATTCCCAAATTCAGGGTGGGTTCTGAGAGAAGAAGCTAAATTAGTGAATGGTTTTGGAGAGAACTCCAGCGGTACTTGAAAACTGGTTTTATCTCTCTTGTTGTACAAGATGTTACCTATCTGTAGAAGAATATTTAGGACACTTGAGAAGTGTTGATTTTTACAGCACCTCTGCATCATTATATTACAGAGAGGGAAAGTGAGGCAGAAAATCAAACATTTTTTCACCAAGTGCAGAGATGGGGACCAGATCTTGTATCAAAATCAGTCTGAGTTTGCCCCTGATTTCAACGGGAGAAGGAGTGAGCTTAGGGAATGTAGAGCTTCAATTTAAGCTCAAAAGTTGCTGACCCCTAGACCGTGTGTTAGGTCATTAGATCCCCTGGAGATGCGTATGCTGTGTACCCATTTTCTGTGGGACTGTGTGATCTAGAAGCAAATGTGTTTTGCAGGAGCAGCAGAGAAAGGGCGTGATAGTGGCTTCTGACAGTAACTTTTCCATGGCAGTCGCGTTCCATGCCTCAGAACTCCGCATTCCAGTATTTGTCATCATGTCAACCAGCACTTCGCCAGTCAGAGTGAAAATGTGCCGTGAGTATGGTGCCCTGGTGATCTCCTATGGCACTACAGCCAAGGATTCCCAGATCCACGCAAAGCGGTTGGCCCAAGAGAATGGCTATCTATACCTTGAAGAGTAAGTGGAAGTTTGATCAGATCATTGTTCTCTGCAAAACCAATTTGGTGTCCTATTTTACTACAACTACAACACTTGGCCTTTGCTCTCTAAAAAATGTCACTGTGCTGATAGTTTATGAAGCAGTGTTCGATTTCGGTCCTTTTCGTGAAGAAAACTGTGGTTATGCTGGACAGAATATAGTGTACAGCAAGGAGAGATTAATGGAATGCAGAGTCTTGCATATGAGGAATGATTGACAAAACTGGGTCTTCTTCTTGAGAGAAGGCGATTAAGAGGTGACATGACTGAAGTATTAAACTAGCTAAGGATGAGTATAAAATTAGGCCTGATTAATTGTTAGAAGAAATTGGATAGGCCATATCTAGGGGACATTGTTTTAAAATGAGAAAATATATGCAAAAAATTCAAGAAGGAGCTGTGTTAGAATGGAACAGTATTTTTATTTTTTATTGTAAAATAAATGGAACAAAGAGGGTTCACAAGTCTTTCCTAATTGGTTCATCCATCTCTAGTTTTGAATTTTGGAGCAGAGTTACTGAATCATAGCTTTTCAGTGCACCATATGTCACTCACCGTTAACATTAACTAGGGCAGCAAGACTTCTATGTATGAATTTGGGAAGGAATATATAGTCTTAGATCAGAACTTTTCAAAGAAATCTAAGGGAGTTAAGTGCCCCAAACAAATGATTATTTTAAAATTTCCTTAGGTTCCTTTGAAAATTGCAGCCCAATTTAGCAACATCTAGGGCTTTTTGGCATCTCCTAGGCCTTGTGCCCAAGTAACTGGTTCCTCATTTACCTGTGTCTCACAAACTTTGACCTGGTTCCTCATTTACCTGTGTCTCACAGTCTCACTAACTTTGAACTGTGTTGCACCAGATGCAACTTTTACTAATGAGAAGTTTTTGCTCCTTTGGAACGCTATATCATGTAAACTAATATCTGCTTTAAATCAGGGTCTTAGCTTGGTTTATAAATCTGGCAACATTGACACAAATGTCTTCCCAGGTTGAAATATCCCTGCTGCCAAGAGGAGGTGCTTATGAGAATTTCTATAGCAGTTGCAGTTATAATTGATGACTGTAAATATCAATTACAATGTATAGATGCCACCACCAAGTGGCTTTTAATCACCTTGACTAATTCAAAACTAAACTAGAACAAAGAAAAGGAATCTGGTCTATTACTTTGTGTCATCCAGAATCTAAATTCCACATACAAACATCACTCAGCAACCAAAACTAAAAAGAAAGCACAGAGCTGTACCATCAAAAGATGCCTCACTCACTCTTTTGAGTGTGGATTTGAACAACATTCCTGAATGATGAATAGCAATAGAGATATAGCCGTGTTAGTCTGGTCTTGCTGAAACAAAAGTGCTGCATAGTCCTGTCTTTTGTTTCATTCCTGAATGATGGACACTCACAGGAGACATCCTCGTGTGTAGCAGTATGTGATCCCCCTTGCTGGAATTCAGTCATGATGTCCATATTCATACCACACAAGTGGCAGGAGATCTTTGAGCCACATGTCTTCAGGACATCAGCTTTACTTTTCTTGAAGGCAAGCATGTACAATAGCACGGTGACCCCACAACAACGTTGAAGCCTGGATTACAGGGAGACTTGCAAACGCTTCTTCCATAAGTGTCCTGGGTTTTCGTATATAATTCCACATCCAAGTTCTGACCAGATGGGACTATAGTGATGAGCTTGCTACTTCAGGAAGCATGTCTTGTAGTACTCCGGGTTAAAGATCTCTAGAGTTATGTCTGCATCAGTGGCACTCAAAGCCACCACGGGCCCTGAGGCAAGACGTGTGAAGGGGGGGCCTGGCTCCACTCCCCAGAAGGGGTGGCGGCTTGGCCAGAAGGGGAAGGGCCGGGGGCAGCCAGCTCGGAGCTGGGGCCTCCCCCCAGCCCTCACACTCCCGCAGAGCACCTGACACAGCACTCCAACACTCCAGTGGCAATTCAAAGGGCCCAGGGCTCCAACTGCTGCTGCCGTAACAGTAGTGGTAACTAGGAGCGTCAGGCCCCTTAGAATCGCTGTGCAACTGTCCCTTGCTTCCCCCTCCCTACCTCTTGTCAGCAGGCCTGGTCAGCATGATGAAATTATTATAAGTTAGGTGCTTAGACCTTTGAGGATCTGAGCTCAGAAGCTTTGAAAGACAGGTAAAAAAACCTGTGCTTTGCAAAATTTGTAATATCATGTCTGAGATCGGGAGCTTATTTTCAAACACTGGGCATATGAATCCTACATTTTGGAGGTAAATAGGTACCAAAAAATTAGTTTTACATCACAAGTGCTAACTTTAGCATCCAAATGCGAGATTCATGTTCTATTAAATTACTGTTTATGTATAAAGAGGGAAGTGAAAGAGCTACTTATATTTGCTTTTATATCTAAGCTTGTAAAGATTTAAAAAAACATTAATGAATTAGTTTCATTATGAATCAAAGTTTTAAACATTAAAATAGGCTTGGTTTGGAGTCCTTTCTAAATGTTAGCAAGGAACATGGGACTGTTTAAAACGCCTGTCCAAGTTGCTAATTGGAATGTTCATCTTGATCTATGAAAGGCAGTCTAGCATTTGATACAGCTTTGCATTTCAAAAGCAGCTGTGTTTGTAAATTGAAACTTCCAGAGCCACAATCACCTTTGCAAGTTCTCATGAACTTCAACATGTAGATTGCAAGGGTAACTTTTTTTAAAAAAAACTCTAATTCTTGGTTGTGGGGAAAAGTTCTCATGAACTTCAACATGTAGATTGCAAGGGTAACTTTAAAAAAAAAAAAACCCTCTAATTCTTGGTTGTGGGGAAAGTGTTCTAACTTCCTCTGAGAATTTTTCAAAGCTCCAATGGTATTTTTATCTTGCTTTACTTTTTAAACAATCATTAACAAAGGCAGGAGGGAGGACCTTTTGGTTATTGCCCTAGGTCGGGAGTCCGTTCCCAGCTTTTCTGCAAACTTCATGTGACCTTGAGCAAATTGATTAATCTCTCTTTGCCTCATCTGTAAAACAGGGATAATAATGAATGTTCCCCTCTCTGTGTCTTCTCCATTAATGTTACAAATTGTTCAGGGCAGGCGACTGTCTTTCACCGTCTATGTCATGGCTACTCAACTTTGGAGTTGCTGGGGGCCACAGTGATACTCACAGCACATGCCGAGGCTCATAACTTAAGTTGCAAATAGCTTCTTTCATATTGACAGGCATGAATACAAAGATTAAGGCAAGACTACACAACACACAGGCCCCATTTAAGTCAGTTCTGCTGATATCAATAGAAATGCAATATTTATCCAATTTCCACCCATATGACAGCACTTTTAATGAGCAACAACAGTCCATAAATTTAATTACTAAAACACATATCAACAGAAGACCATTATATCGACTCACCGTTGTGAAGCATGTTCCCAGTGGAGGTCATGTTCAAAGGATTCCACCCACGGGCCATGTGTTGATCCCCTTATAAACCCAAACTGCACCACGGTCCGCAAACAACCGTTGAGTTGCCCAGGTCTATGTAAAGTAGCAAGCACATTGGAGCCGTAATCTCTGTTGGGAGCTTTTAGGTGTTGTTATAATACAAATAATTAATGAATGAACACAGCCCCTTGCACTAGTGGTAAAACTAAGGGGTGATGAATATTTTGCCAGAATATAAAAAAGGAAATCATTGGTACAGTAATTCTGCTTGGTTTATTGATTTGCCAGAAAATGTAGAATGCACACAGGTACTTAACAGTCTTATAGTTTCCGATTAATTTGTTATTCTTCAGGTTTAATTTAAATGATTCTAAATCAGCCAACTCTGAAGTTAAATGATCTTTTGTTGTACCTTTCAGGCTGTGTGCATTCTTAAGCTATGGCTACACTGTAGCTTTCTTCCGGAAAACCTTATGCAAAGGAAGTGCAGCATGGAATATCTCCATGCTTCATTTGCATAATTAATTAGTAGCTGCTTTTGTGCAAGAGGCTTTTGTGCAAAAAGGAGCTGTGTAGGCGGCTCCTTTTTGCGCAAAACCCCCCTTTTGCATAAGAGCTGTTCTTCGTCATTTTTTCAGGAAGAATGGCTCTTGCACAAGAGGGGTTTTTTTGTGCAAAAAGGAGCCGTCTACAGAGCTCCTTTTCGCACAAAAGCTTCTTGTGCAAAGGAGCTGCTAAGTAATTATGCAAATGAAGTAAGGCAATATTCCACACTATACTTCATTTGCATAAGCTTTTCCGGAAGAAGGCTACAGTATAGCCGTAGCCTCAGTATGTTCGGTAAACTGCCTGTCGCTGTGTTTTTTTTCCCAATGAATACTTAGGCAGACTAAATACTCTTAGGCTATGTCTAGACTGGCCCCTTCTCCGGAAGAGGCATGCTAATTTCTCACTTTGGAATAGGGAAATCTACGGGGGATTTAAATATCCCCCACGGGATTTAAATAAACATGTCCGCCGCTTTTTTTCCGGCTTGGGGAAAAGCCAGAAAAAAGCGTCTAGACTGGCGCGATCCTCCGGAATAAAGCCCTGCTTTTTTCCGGCTTTTCCCCAAGCCGGAAAAAAAGCGGAGGACATGTTTATTTAAATCCCGCGGGGAATATTTAAATCCCCCGCGGATTTCCCTATTCCAAAGTGAGAAATTAGCATGCCTCTTCCGGAGAAGGGGCCAGTCTACACGTAGCCTTATTCTTCAGGGAGGTTTTCCAAGGTGGGCGTTAAGATACCAGATTTTGGCTCTGAATAGCAGAAAGATTTGTGCTCCACTGGTCTGCTCTGTATCTATGGGTGCATCTACACTGTACCCTAAACTCAAAATAAGATATGCAATTTTGATTTTATTTTTATTTTATTTTGAAATAGGCTGTTTTGAATTTTGGCACATCTACACAGCGCCAAATTTTGAAATAAAGCGCTATTTGAGCCATCCCTTAACCCTTGTGCAATGAGGTTTATGGGGATGATATTTCAAAAAAAACAGGCGCGTTCCTTGGACGTGGGGTAGCTAGTTTGGGATACCTCCAGTATCCTAAAATAGCCATGCAGTGATGATGTACCCTATGTGACTACATAACCACAGGGCTTCCATGTCCTGTAAATTCTCATTATTGTGAGCACTAAATCATGCCCCATTGAACAGAAACAGCTATACCTACACTAGATTCCTTATTATTGCTTACCAAGTTGACTGGAGGATATTAGAACTCATGAAGCCTAAGAAAGGGGTTGCAGCAGTAAGGGGCACGCTCTGCTTTCCAGCAGTTGAAATAGCTGACAAACAGGCCAATCCAGAATTCACTTGGCCTTCGTTCTCGTAACCTGAGAGCTAGAAGGATAGGCTTTTTAGGGGCAAAAACCTCCGCTCATTCATCTAGCAAAGCATTTTTTGTCACTTTGATCCGGACTCACCTGGCTGAAATCCATCACTGATTGCATACTGTAAAGTGGCAGAGATCTTGAAATATTTGCTGACCTGGCTGCAAGTGCTGAATTGTCATCTGTTACTTTTTGTGGGATTATTTTGTTCCAAGTTGCCTTTCGATGTCACTTTGTTTCCAGAAGCATCTGGATTACTAAGTCTCAGAGGGGTAGCTGTGTTAGTCTGTAACTTGAAAAATGAGCAGTTCAGTGGCTAAATTCTTACAAATTAAATATATTATAGAATCACGAGCTTTTGTGGGCAAAACCCACTTCATCAGATGACCTGGAGAGGGATGACAGGAACCCAGAATTTATAACAGAAGAAGAGGGGGAGGAAAGGTACCTGTCAGTTGTAGGACTGGTGCGAATGTAGCTAATTACGTGGGCTGGACATGTCCCGTACATAGCTTTTGATGTGAAAATGAGGAGTTAAATGCAAGGAAGGCTGGCTTTATAATGCAACATCCAGTTACTGTGGTTCATTGCAGCAATATCTATAGCTGCAATCTATCTTAGGATCTGGTCAGTAGCAGTATTAAAATGTCCGGGAGGCTTTGCCAACAGTATACATTCCCATAGGTGGTTTTCCTGATGAACTGTGTCTGTACAGCTGTGAACTGTTAACAGGTCCCAACTCTTCAATGACTTGTTTGTTCTTTCCTGACAGGGAGGACAGTGCTATGTACCTGTCAGGGCTGGGTACCATGGGATTGGAGATATATGAACAAGTGCCAAAGCTGAATGCTGTGATTTTCCCTGCAGGAGGGCACTGTGGATTGCTGGCAGGTTCAGCTGCTGCCCTCAAACATCTCAACCCACATATTGCTGTGATTGTAAGTTCTCTCTGCCATTCAGTTGTGTGTTTTGAGAGGTTTATCCACCTATCTCTCAAGCTTCAGAAAGGTGTATTCTACTAAGGGTCTGTGTACGCTGCAGACCGAGGTTATTGGTTCCTACAGACCTTCTCCATGAAAACTTTTATGTTAGAATTTGGGCTGCCTGCTTCAATTCTTGGTTAATTGTTTGTTTGGGTTTTTGTTAACTGTGAGGAACCCTTTTTCAAAGTAAATTAAACCAAACTCCACATCTGAATTTTTGACCACTTTTTTTTGTTTGTGTGATGGATTTAGGACTGTTTGTTTAGCTTGTATGAAATCTGTGTGATCTTATTAAAAGTCTTTTTAGCTGTTTCAAAGTTTTGGGACTCTACAGAACTCTTATTTGAAAGACCTCCAAATAGAGAGATCCCCAAAACAGCATGGTAGTAACTTACTCCTGGAAGGAGCAACCTACTCAGGTTAAAACTGAGGTCTCTGTTAAAACTGTGGATTATTGTTTAAAATTTGTCCATAAACAAACCAGTCATCCCAAATTGTACACAGAATCACCCCTCATGGCTCTTGATGTAGATTTCAGCTAGTTGCTGTAGAAACTATAAGTGGTGGGACACAACGGACAAAATATTTCTGTATGATAAAATGTTACTTGACATTGAAAGGTTGAATGACATTAACCATCTGCAAATGTACAATAGTTGTAAAAATGCTACTTGGGTGGTCTTGCTGTTCCTAAAGATGGGCTCCAAACTGCACTTTGAATGCAAACATCTCTAAATTTTAAGAAGTTGGAATCAAGAGCCAAATTTTTAGTCTCTAGTCCATCTCTATATATTAGTAATAGTGGTGGTGATTATTCAAAATAAATGATATTTATATATTAAAAACAAGGGGATAAGACCTGAGATCTTTACTTTTTCTTTAACTCAATCCTGGGACTTTGCCTGAATATTGTGAACTACAGACTTAGCCCAAGGGGGAAAGACCTACGCTGAATATAATAGAAACTTTTATGAATCTTTGATGCGACAGAAATCTACAGAGAACCGTCAAACTCAAGCCTAGAAAAGTATATGAAGCTGTTGATACTATTTCATTATTCCCCATATCTTTGCAACAGATTAATATATGGCCTGGGTACTATTTAAGACCTATTTTGAGGACTTAAGTGACACATCAGCCTTGTGCTTTCCCTGTGCATCAGGGTGAATTTCACCCTGTTTTAGTATGTATCTTATTTTTTCCCTATTTTTATGTAAACCCTGTAGAAAAGTATGCCCATTTAAGATAGCTGGGCCTAATGTGTTCCCTTCTTAGGGAGGGATGCAATAATCCATACAACTTAATTGTTGTTTCCTTCTCTGACACAAAGGAACTGTTGGATTAAACATGCGTTTTTATTTATTGCTTGCTTCTGTTACAGTAGAATTTGATGTTCTTTAAAAGGACTCTTTTTTACAATCAAGTGACAAGTCAAAAGGAACAATTCAGACTCCTTTTACAAGCTTATTCTCTCATGTCAAAAGTTATAAGGAATTAAATTTCACCTATCTGGAAGGGTTTAGTGACTGAGAAATTTGCAGAGGAGCACAGTCAAGGTAAAATCATTAACTAAAATAAACAGACCACTTTATCCAATCAAAATAATGGCCAAGACTAAAACTAAAAGGATTTTTAAAATATGTAAATAAATGGCAAAAATTCAACTAAAGGAAAAATTACAACTCGTCAGTCATCTTCTAATTATAGAAACTAGTCAGTTTCACTTTGTTTGGCACCAGTACTGTACAATGCTGCTGTGTATTGGGTCCCTTATGGTTTAGATCCTTTTGAAATTCACACGAATATTTCTGTACATTTTTTAAACCTCTCCTCATCCCAATTTTGAAAGGAAAACCTAAATTTGAGGTCTTTACAAAACAGGCAAAATATCTTTAGAACTAGGGGAGAGGTAAAATTAAATTGGCAACAGGGGTTCATAGTGGTTGCTAATCATGACAATAAACTTTGCCCAGACTATACAGAATTTTGTTTCCTTAGTGTTGGTGGTTCCTGTTGTAACTTGATCTGCATGGTAGTATTTTCCCCCCTGTTCTCAGGGTGTTGAATCGGAGAGTTTCCCTGTATTACAACAATCATTAAAGACCGGCAATCCTATTGAAGATCAGCCCTGTAGCAACCATCAGTTTTATGGAGGTAAGAGTGTAAATTCGGACAATAAACGTTGTAATGAATTTCAGCAACCTGTGTCTCCTCTTTTTCAGTCAATCCACATCAGGAGTGAAACATTTGTTTTTATTTAGGGCCAGATTTTGCCATCTGTATCATAACCTTACTCCACTAATATCAGTGTGACAACTTGCAAAGTTAGTCATTAATCAACATTAGAGGTATAAAACAAGGTAGCAGCATTTGGAAATTGGGTTATCAGTTTTTGCAGGTTTTCATTTAATTTTCAGAGAAAGATGTATATTAAAACAAGAACAAAAAACCTTGTTTAGCTGACTTTCAGAGCACCTATTTGAGTTCAATGAGAGCTAGAGATCAGCCCCTCTGAAAATACATCTGTGGGAGGCTACGTATAAACTGCAAGCCTCTTTCAAAAAAGAGCATCTAGACTACAACCAGTACTTTTGAAAAAGCAAGCCACTTTTTCAAAAGAGAGCACCCAGGTAGTCTGGATGCTCTCTTTCGAAAAAGCACAGTTTGCATTATATAGCGCCTTTCGAAAAAAGCCATTATTCCTCGTAAAACGAGGTTTTCTGTGGTCGAAAAACCTGCCACATTCTTTCAATTTACTTTTGAAAGAACGTGGCAGCAGTCTAAATGCAGGGGAAGTTTTCTCAAAAAAATGCTACTTTTTAAAAAAAAACCTCTGTAGTCTAGACACCCCTACAGAATGTGCAAAAATCTCCCCTTCTTTCTTAACAATCTCTCCACTCCAACTTGCCACGTCCCTAGCACACATGCACTCTCATATCAACTTGTGGATATTCTTCCATTTAATCAAATTAGAGATGGCCAAAACCAAACTTTTTAGTACTCTTAATAATCCCTCCCCTCCTTATTCTCCTTTGCTGATGCCCCAAACTTGATATGCTTTTCAATTCCTCCTATTGATTTATGATAATATCTATTTTGGGTGCTGTTTGCAGGCACATGGAGAACCACAAATCATTGAAGTCAGTGGGACTTTGCAGGCAGAGGGGTTAAGCTGTATGGTTCTTACTACAGATCTGGGGTCTTAGATTGTAAATGCTTAGCTCGCTTATGTTGGCACACTACTCTTATTTGGATACAGAAAAAATTGATAATTAAAATAAGTCTATTTTATAAACTTCATCATGGCAATAGGCTGCGTTTATTTCATTTCAAACAAAACAAAGAAGCCCGGGCCAAATTTGGACATGACTAATACTGCCAGCTTCACTTTTAATATGTTGCTTAAATCTGCAGATATGAATGGCCCTTGTTTTGGTACCAATTCTTTGCAATTGACTGGGAAGCTTGTAGACAAAGTTGTTACTGTCAGGTAGGTGAAGAAAAACAATGTAGTGAAGAATGTTGACTCGAACGGGTATTTGTGAAATGAAATACTGTTGTATGCTAGAGACGGACTATACAGGCTACTCCCTTAGGGCCTGATCAGTCCTGACTTCCATTGAATTGATTTTGTTCATTTGTTGAAAAAAAAATCAAAGTTTCGACTGCTTGGGATGGCAGGATCAAGCTCTGAGGTCTTGCATGAACTCTTTGAAGTCAGGAGCAGTTTTTCAGTTGACTTTCTCTGGCTTTCAAATGTGGTGGGGGGAGGGAGAACCTTCAACTAAGTGACAATAATACAATATGTTAAGTCGCACTTATAGTCCCATCTGTTTTGGCATTCATTCCACTGTATGGCCTTCAGCTGTGTTTTTATATAGTGTCTTTCATATGAACGGCATACCAAGTAATTTCAGGCGCATAAATAATATTTACCCAGTTATATATTTTACAAATAGGAAAGAGGTATTTAGAGACAAAAGCAAAGGAGAGAGGTGTTTTCATGTGAGATTTGAAACTGAGAGAGACTGGCAGGGAAATCAAGGGAGACTCTTCCAAATAACATGGCATTTGTGGGTGACTGTAGGGAAGTTGTAGCTGATGTTTATATTACTACAGTGCTATTTACCTTCACATACGATTAACCCATGGAAGAAATGTAAGCCAGATCCACCATTGGGGTAGACTGGCCAGTTGAAGATGAACTCCTTTGCTTTTTCTTAGGCAACTACGCTTGCGTTATCTACCTTGAGAGAGTGCAGGTCCTCTTAGGCCAGGAAGGTCGTCTTAAGGTACATGACACCAGCTACATAAATAATATAGTTGGAGTTGATGTACCTTAAGCTGAGCTCAGCACCATGGAAGGTCATCAGGAGCAAACACTTGCATCAGTTTCCCTTACTTCTCATGAATCAGAGTACAGGCATTGACAGGGGCACCCTTGGTGTTGGATTTAGCATGTCCTTTCCCTTACTTCTCATGAATCAGAGTATAGGCATTGACAGAGGCACCCTCGGTGTTGGATTTAGCATGTCTTTTCTAGACCTGCTAAATCGAACACCAGGAGATGGATCTCTGGTGTGGTAAGTATAGACGTGGCCTGAGTGACGGATGAATTGTGGGGGAAATTATTGATGGATATTTAAGCTAATCAAGATTCAGCCATGTCCATGAACCTTTTATGTTCATTTTCTATAAACATTCAAGCCCTCCAACTTTAGCAGTGTGAATATTGACAAATTGAACATGAAGCTCAAGTGACTTTTGAATTGTGCATCATACAGTGGAATATACAGTTCTACGTTCTTTTCTGTTTGGAAGATTATAAAACCATGTCAAGTGACTTTAGTATATAAACAACAAAGCACAAGTTGCAAATATTATCAGTTTGAAGGCCAAGATTTAGGTTCTAATGAAAATCACTATACATTAAATTAACACAAAAAAGAGAGAATTTGGGTGGCTCATTGTGGCAGGAAAAATGACAAGAGTCACCAAGAAGCATGCACACGCATAGCAACTTGGGTTCAAATATTGGATACTATGAGCAAGCCCTGTCCTGCAATCCTTATTGATGTGTTTGGTCCAAGAGTTGCAAAACAGCTATCCATCAATTAAACAGGCTCACTCTTGTGGTGGAGCAAAAGCCCTTTAAACAGCAATGCTACACAACAGTCCAGGTCAGCCTGTAGGAAACAACTAATCCAGGGGAAATAGCGGGGTAGGTAGATGGGATGTACTTATCCAACTGGAGTTGAGCCAGGATGCCAAGGCTAAAGCCTCAACTCTTGCAACAAGTACCATGTGACCTTTTGGGTTATACTATTTTCCCACCCCGCAGAACAATTTCCCATAATGCTATGGTAGGGCCTCTTCAATAAACCAACAGAGGGCCAAAGGAATCCCTTAATACATAAATATCCTATCTCTTCCTGCTAACTGTGGTTTACATTCTCTCTCTGTGTGTGTTCAGTTTTGACACTGCTCCTTTTGCCTTCAGGGAGGAGGACGTTCTCATTTCCATGCTGCGGTTGCTGGAGTATGAGCGAGCCACGGTGGATGCTGAAGGAGCTATTGGACTCGCAGCCTTAGTTGCTGGGAAACTGCCAGAGTTAAAGAATAAAAGGTGCAGCGTCCATACGCCAGCTGCTGCGAACACGGGGCTTATCAAGGAAGTCATAGGAGAGAGCGGGCTGTACTTCTCACACTCATTCTTCTTTATTCTGAATGTTGAGTCACCCACTACTCTCAGTGGAGCCTGCACTAGTGAAAACTTTCTGAAAGAGAGGGGAAAAGGCCATGGCCTCACCTGAAATGGAACTACACAAATTGACCCCAAGGGTTCAGTATTGCAAGAGGTTGAGCCCTCTGGCCCCAGCATAAATCAATGTGATTTTACATGTGGTTAAAAATAAGCATGTGTGTAAGCAGGCGGCCGGCAGCTTCTGCAGGCCCCTGGGCAAGGTGTGGGAGGACCGGCTCCAGATCCCAGAAGGGGCAAGCCCTGAGGCAGAAAGGGAGGGGCTGGGCAGCCTGCCCAGAGTGTGGTCCTGGGCCTCTCCAGCCCTCAGAGCTCCACGGACTTCCGAAAGAGCGTGTAGACGGGTCCAATGTCAGAAAATCCTCTTCTGGAAAAAGAATCGGAAGAAGATATGCAAATGCAAGCACAATTTGCATACTTTCTTCGAAAGCCCCCTTCCCCAGCATAGCTGCACCCTACATGGCATCACCCCTCCCCCAAAGAAACGCAGCCACCTCCAGCAGCAGACCGTATTAATGATGCTGTCAGGGCAGTATAGGCTCCCAGAGAAGATCTATTAAACTGATAATATCACTTCCTGAAGTAGGTAATTTTTTTCCTCTTGTGAGGTCCCTCGTCCAGGTACCGACCAGACTCTGCCTAGCTAGTGAGAGTGAGGTGATCATAGCATGAGGTGGATATGCAGGTAGACACTATCTGAACAGTAATAGAAGAGGATAGCTACTGCAAACAGCAAAAGCAGCATTGCGTACTGTATCAACACGGTTCCTGAAAAAGCTGCATCACTCTCATATAACAATTCTGTAGAGATTTCTTTTGCATAAATAAGAAGTAAGTTGTCCTGTTTGCTCTTGTTTTCAGAGTGGCAATCACTGTATGCAGTGGTAACTTGGAACTACCTTTGATGAGACAATGCATAGATCGTGCCCTGATCCTTGACAACAGAGTGTGCAAATTTTCTCTCCTCCTCTCTGATTGTCCAGGAGATATTTCAAAGCTACTGGAGATACTGACTCGGGAGGAAGTGAGGTAATTTAGAATCCTGTGCATACCGCCAATATTACATTGTTGAGAAAATAACACAGTGGACACAGGCATGCTTATAAGTGACAGCTCCTGCAAAGGGAGTAATCCAAGGGTTACACAAGTGACAACAGGAACCCAGGGAATCTGTTTATATAGTATTGCTGTAGCCTTTGTTGGAAACCTTTCCCTGTCTCAGGCTGAACATTGGTATGTGCTCTCCGTAATAGGTCTACAACTCTCCTGAACTGGATGGCTCATCAATGTTGAAATGTAGAATTTCATTGCAAGGTCTCTATTTTTATTAAAACAAATATGAATGGCTGGCTGACCCATGATGTGCTAGTCCGTCTCCTAGTTGTTTTAATCTTTATAAATGCTGCTTAGAAGCATGAAACAGTTTAGCGTACAGGGCAAATCCTGCCTTCCTAAGCAATACAAGGCCTGTGCACACCTACAACATTTAGGTTTTGTCTCTTAAAACTTTGACCCTATAAATGAAATACATAGTTGTAAAAAGCAAAGGCATCTCTATTGGTGAAGTGCTAACGGAACTTGCAGACCAAGTGCTCCATGGGAGAGTACTTGGGCTGTGAAAGGGGAGATGCACTGGAGAATGAAATTGGAAAAAAAATTCTTCAGGATTAAGTTACTGCAATGCCTTTCAATGCATTCTAATTTCTCTGTTCTTGGTTGCTCCGATCCAGCAATTGTACCTTGGCCCAACTATGCAGTTCCATTTAATTGCTGCTATAAATTCCCCAGATATGTGCTATCACTTACAGAAAGCATTTGATAATGACAAGGATTTGCACCACTAATCCATGTTTGGTTTGTTCTAGGGTGTTGGACATCAAACAAGAACACGCGTTTGTAACATCTGACCTCTTCTCCATTGAGGTAAGGAGAAAAATGCAAGTTCAGTCGCTTGAGCTGTGCTGGCTTTTCACAAACTTGGCTGTAATTATGGAGAAGTTCGGACTCCTGCCTTCATATAGCTTCCCAGGATCATGTGGGTTAAGGCACTGAAATGCAGCTCAGCAGAAAATACAGGCTTTGTAAGCAGGATGTTAGATAATCAGCAGTATGCTGTTATAGGGCAACTTAATCACTGTGTTCGTAACAGGCATATAAATAATCCTTGAGTAGCTTCTCCTGTCATTGAAATGCAGCCAGTTTGGAGTGCAATACTGCAGCTGTTGGTATTGCAAGGCTACTTCGTATATAACAGTTCTAAACCAGAAGGGATGAGACACAGCATCCAGCTGAGCCCTCAGGAGGAAGTGTCCCTCCCCAAGCTTGCTTTGGGCCCAGATGTTGCTATTCTTGGCCAAAGTGTCATGGCATCTTTGACCAGAGGTGAGACCTCAGTTCTGAACTTCTCTCTCCTCTTTCCCAATCCCAGTAGCTTGCAGGCAGTTCTGAAAAATCCGTGAAAGAGTCTGTTCTATTTGCACTGAAAGTGGTGGGAAACGTTGACCCATGGACTGGAAATGGATTTTTTTTCCAAACATTTGATTTGACAGGAAGGCTTTGTTCTGGGCTTTTTAAAGGCCACAAAATAACCAGAGAAGGTGGAGGTGGTGATGCCACAGCCATTCTTATTTTTAGCCTACTGATTATAGGGCACTGACTTTGGAGATGGGGGTTTGCTTTTCCCCTCTGCCTGATGGGTTTTGAAAAATAGTCTCCTATGTAGCAGGAAAGCAAACCAGCCCGAGGGCTCACGGAGTGTCTCAAACTCTCCAGTTGGTATTGAGGTTATTCCGCTTCATATAAATAGAGCAATTGGAGCAGCGACTTGAACTTAAGAATCCCACATCTTCAATGATGTTAAAAGGCTGTAGCATCGTTGTCCCTTGCCCCAGTCACTATTCACTGTCATGCACAATTGAATGATGTGCCTGAAATCCGTAGGAGTTAGGTACCTAAATACGTTTGACTATCTGAGCTCTAAGAGTACGTATACAATGCAGCGTTATTTGGGGAGCCTTCTGAAATCCCGAATAGCATTGACCGCGTCTTGACAGCATACCTGTTATTTCAAAATGTAATCGAAATAATAGGCGCATTATTCTGACATCCCGGTAAACCTTGTTCCATGAGGATTAAGGGACTTCTTGGAATAGCGGTCTATTTAGAAATTTGGCACTGTGTAGAAAGCGCCAAATTTCAAAATAGACTATCTCGAAATAAGCTTGAAATAAGGTACACAATTTGCATAGCTCAAATTGCGTAGCTTATTTCGAGCTAGTGCTTCAGTGCAGACACACCCTAAGACTCCTTTAGAAAAATGTTACTCTTCAGTTGAACAGTATGGAGTAAACTTTAAAGCCCCTTCTAGTTTCACCTTATTGGAATTCAAGAGGTTTCTCAAGTAGATTTTCATGAAAGTGTTTGACACTTATTTATATTACCAAATCACTTGTATTAGATCATCTTTCCTAGTTTTTTGGCAGAGAATATTAAGAGATTTTTTGTTTTTATTGAACCATTTGCAACATGATGGGTCTGTTAGAATATTGAAACCACATATCATCTCTGACCAAAAAAGTTGGCCATTACTCATGGCTGCTTTTAAACATGCTCTGTTTTCATAGGTTTCCATTCCAGTAGACTCGTAGAGTTGTACTTTACGAAGATTTGGATGGTTAGTTAATCAAATGGTCAAAGTGTTTCACAATGATCTCAATGATGATTGTTAACATTACTGGAAGGGGCTTGAATACCTTTGTACTACAATTAGAGATGAGCCCTGAGCTGCAAAGTTGAGATCGAGGCCAAAATATCCCAGAATTGTGTTGATGATATTTTTCATCCAGCACATTAGAGTTAATCCTCAAATTTAGTAATTGTGGATATTTGTCCTTTTGGAGGCAAGCAAAGCCATTGAAATGACATAACACTAAGTAGCAACCCTTTTGTTTAAGGTTCTGAATGCTCAGGAGTTAAAAGTAAAAGTTAGGGTTTCATAGCAACATTGATTTACCCACATTGTGCTTACTTTGCATTTCTTTTCTTCATGTATTGCTTTTAAGGATCCAGGACTTGCTTCAGCAAAGCCCTTCAAATGTACTTAAATCCACAATTCCATGAGGATTTCCCCCTTTCTCACTGAGTAATGTGAAATTGGAAATGAATGAAACTAAACTGAATTAAGGCCACTTCAGCTCTGATTGAGTGTCCACAAAGGGTTTCAATGCAGTTTAATGAATCCACTGTAAATACATACCTTTCGTTAAATCAGACTAACTTTCTAGAGCATCTCTGCCTGGACAAGCACTGAAATACATGCTCACTCTTGTAAACCCAGATGAGGAAATCTCTAATTGAAATACAGATTAATTGTGAGTGCATTGGCTCATTGAGAGAGCTTTAAATCACTCTAGTGCTTAATCTTCCCTGTGATTTACAGCTTCATTTCCAAGAAGAGAAACTTGGCTTTTACTCACTATTTATCCTGATGATGGAGTGACTTTACTCATTGGCAGGATGCCTTGATGAACTAGTGTTGGCTGATTTGGTACATATCTGTGGAAATATCTGTGCCACTAGCCAGTTGGTGTGTGCTGATGGCTTTAAAAAAAAAAAGCTGTGTCCAATTTGCCACTAGCCAGTTGGTGTGTGCTGATGGCTTAAAAAAAAACTGTGTCCAATCACCCTTTCTGTTTTTGGAAAAATCATTGCAGGAATTTTTGGTCACCTATGCAATGGGATTAGCTGCTTGTATTCTTTAGAATGTGCAAGAACACCTTCTGGAGCTCTTCTGTTTTGCACCTCTGATTACGATTCTCTACTCGTGTGAGATTTTTGTCTTGCAGTAGATTGCAGACCCTGGTCAGGCAGCAACAGCAGTGTCACCATGAACCAGGTCATGTTGAAGTTGGTAGTTTTGAAACAGAGAAGATTTTTCACTTGTTAATAGTCCTTGGCAGTTTAGATACAACTAGGAGTGCACAATTTCCTGAAGAATTTGTTTTTAAATACACATCTCGTGTTTACACCCAGCAGAATCTGTTTATAGAGAATGGTAGAACGCCATTCCTTGTGAGTTTGGTTGCAAATATGGATTCCAGCGTTGCAAGAATATCCCCTTCCCCAAATTCTTCTCTCTGCCATTTCCTCCTTTCTGCATACTAAGGCCAACAGATCTCTTCTGAGGGCTGATAATCCTAGTCTCTCCCTACTGGGGTATTTCAGAGAGGGTGCTTGATTTTAGTGTGGGTTTAGGTGTCAGTTTTGTCTTTTGAGGAGCTGGATCCAATGATTTTAGTGTGGGTTTAGGTGTCAGTGTCTTTTGAGGAGCTGGATCCAGGTGACCAATTTGGGACTTGGACTTGTTCCTAGCCTAGCTCCCACATGGGACAGTAAAATGTGTCTGGTTCTAGAAAATTGGGGGCACCTTGGGAAGCCATTCCTTGGCAGAAGAGAATGGTCAGCGATAACATAGAACTACAGGTGTAAAATATCCAAAATTTTAATGCCTCCTAATTGTGCGAGGCAGCAAAATTAAAATAGCAGCATCAAGGAATGAAAACGATCAACATGCTTCTTTCAGCTGTTTTGATTACTCCATTTTTGGTACGGCCATGTGAGCTGTTGAAATGACTTTAAAAAGGGCAAATAACTACCCAGTTTCCAAAGGAATGTGTTTGATTATTTCACTAGGATGGTGGTGAAAGAAACACTTGAATGGGTTGCCTAGGGAGGTGGTGGAAAGTCCATCCTTTGAGGTTTTTAAGGCAAGTCTTGACAAAACCCTGGCTGGGATGATTTAGTTGGGGTTGGTCCTGCGTTGAGTGGGGGGTTGGACTCGATGACCTCCTGAGGTCTCTTACAACCCTAATCATCCATGATTCTATGATGACCTTGGGTGCGAACGTACTGGCCTGACCTGCTTTACACCAGATGAAATTTGGGAACGTGGTACAGGTTCCAAATATTTTAAAAATAATACTGACACGTTTTACCAAATCCACTAAAAAAAATCCTAACAATCCCTTCCTGTTTGTGTTGACATTGACCATCAGCAACAGCAAGTGAAAGTCTGGGTCCAATCGCATGGAGAAATGGGACTGCCTCACTGTGGGCTTATAGGCTCGGTAGGGGGCGGTCCTGTGCTTTGGAAGAGATCTCATAGTTAGAGGGAGAAGTACTGCTTCCTTAACCAGCTGATGCTAGCTTTTCACAGCTCTTTCCTTCCAAATCAGTCAAACTCCCTGAGAACTAGATCTGGATCCCCTTCCGCTGATTACTACAGGTTGCACCTCCTAAAACCAGAATTCTCTGGTCTGGCAACACCCATGGTCTGGGTCAGAGAACCCTGGTAGCCTAGTGGCAGGAGGGTCAGATTGAAATAGTGGGACAGTGCAGGGGTTGGGGCTGGCAGCAGCCCCCTGCATCAGTGGGGCTAGAGCCAGCCCCACGACAGCCCTGGTAGCATGGGCTGGGGCAGAGCTTCAGGCAGCCCGCAAAAGTATGGCCAGAGCCCATGGGCTGCCAGTGGGCTGGGACAGGAGCCCGACCCCTCGGCATCCTGACCAGGGCCAGAGCCAGCCCCGACAGTGCGGCTGCTGGAACACGGCCGTCTGGCTGTGGCCGCAGCAGCAGGGCCAGCAACCCTGCTTGTCCTTCGGTAGCTTGCTTCATGGATCAGTCAGGGTAAAGAAGGGGTTAGTGTTCAGAAGGAGTGATTTACAGTGGTGGGGGTTCATGTGCTGAAGGGAGAGACGATAAAGGGGGAGGTGTCTTAGAGAGAGAATACGACTGAGTCAAGCTCAAGTCAAACTATCAAGATGCTCGATGACCAGGGCTCAGTATATTTAAAGACCACCTAGTACTCCGAGATGAAGTGTGTGGTCAACAACTTTGCTTCTTGGCCACAGTGGAACTTTTGACCATGAGGGTAAAGCTCAACTGCGTGGGAAACAGATTTTCTGAGCAGCTGGTCTGAGACTATGTAGGAAACTCCTGCGGGAACTTACGACCATCATCAACCTCCCCACAGTGCAAGGCATGTTTCTCTAACCTGCCTTCTCCAGTACAAACATAGAGCAGCACGCGTGTATAAATGAAACCCTTTGAAGCCAAAACACGGCACTGCCCATACGATTCCCCTTGTGGGAAGAGGATAACAGTCAGGTACAAGAATGTGGCAGGGATGGCGTAACAGTATCTAGTGCTGGTGGTGAAGTCCACTGACTAGAGGGCCCAAAAGTTGCTGCCAGCTCATTTTCTCTCAATCGACACTGGATTTATGTACTTACAAAATGAGGCTGTAATTAACAGGCTGCGCATGAGCACACTTACCCAAGGAGAACAATGTTATAGTTCACCTTGATGATACAGAACATCGGCGTGGGAGCTATGGGTGTGGGAGGTGCTGCAGCATCCCTGGGCTCCCATCATAACACATGGGTTCTCAGCTGCTGGCCATGTGTCCCAGGAGTGCAGCCGAGAACTCAGTGCCAGGGGTCCCAGCTGCTGGTCCCGTGTGCTGGGGCTTTGCTCTTGGTCTCAGCTGGGGGTGAGGGAGGACTGAGGTTAAGGGGGAGCAGCACTTTTAAAAAATGTTCTCGCACCACTGATACAGAAGACACCAGTGGGAGGGAAATCTATTCCTTGCCCATCTGTAATATTCCTCTAGCCTAGGCGCATATTTCTTCCAAATAGCTGTGTCATGAGTCTCACAGACCATGGACTGGAGTGAAAAGGCAGTGAGGAAACAAAATCAAACTGACACAACAGTGAAGGAAGAGAGAATTTTTACTTCCAGACTACTCAAGGCTTTGCTGCAGATCCATAGCCTGTCAGACTATGGAAGATCAGAATCCTGCTTGGCGCTGGGAAGTCAGAAGACAAGTTTTGGCTCATCTGGTTCCTAGTGAACACTTTGTTCCCTCACAAAAACCACAACACAAACTGACATGACTGACAGTCTCAACAGAGCACCTGAAGTAGAAGATCTATACTGACAGCTTAGCACAGACTGTTCGAGCAGCATTTTTCCATAGTGTTCTGAGTTCTGTTTAGTTTTCTCTCCATCCACCCTTCAGGGGAATTAATTCAGCCAAACATGAAAACTAATCATAATAAAAGACTATAAATGCTACTTTCCCAACCAATCAACCTCTCTCTCTCTGTGTCTGTTTTTCTGGAAGCAAAACCTTAATTTTTAAGTCAACTGTTGCTCCTTCGGTACGATAATCTTACATACACTCCTATGAAGAGCTGTTTCCTAGCTCACTCAGTTGATATAATACCTATTCTGCACAGAATTGATTCCCCTCAAACCAGAAGTCATTAAGTTATTTTGGCCTATTCTGGACAACTTCAATAAATTCCTTTGGGCCAGTTGTGTACTGTAAAATACTAGAAAAGAATACTTGAGTGCCTCAGATTCTCTGGCTTCATTAGGAAGGGGCATATCTAGTGCTCAATGGTGCCTGCATGTTCAGCTTTTGGGGTAGAAGTAAGGTAGTTTTGTGACTTAGGCACTGGATTAGGACTCAAAAGATATAGTCTCTGCTACGGGTTTCCTTTGTGACCTACTTAGGCACTGGATTAGGACTCAAAAGGTTTCCTTTGTGACCGTGAGCAAATCCCTCCGTATATCTGTGCTTCGGGTCCTCATCTGCAAAATGGAAGCATTTGGAACAGGAGGAACATTCTTAACACTCCCAGAGCACTTTTCCCCAGAGGACTTCTGCAACAGTTAGACAACATTGATTAATGGAGCTTCCTTTTGATCTTATGCAGTAGATGAGCATTCATCCTATGGTACTGATGAGAAATAGAGGTACAAGGAATTTTAATGGCTGGACTTTGCAATCCTTATGTCTGTTATGCTGTTGAGCATTACTCATTGACTGCCTGGATGAGTTCGCACTCAGCAACACAAGAAGGGTGCATAACCGAGACCTAGGGCATTTGCTGAACGCTATACAAGAAACAGATGGAAGAGCCCAGAAGGGACCACAGGAATCCAAGTCCCCTGCACTCTGGATCAGACCTGCTGGATGGGTTGTTCAGCAGCTACCCTCCAAACCCTAATCCCACCCATTGTTGCCAAAGGAAGTAAAAATTGTTAGAGTAGGTATAGGTCGGAATGACTTGCAGACTCCCTCAAGCTTTGGGACCTTTTCATTTCTGAGGATCTTCCCTTTACTTATAGAATTGGGACAATTTTTCCATGTAGGTAAAAAATGTATTTGGCTCTCTGATCTAACCCCACAAATCTTGACGGCAAAAGGGCGTGTGAGAGATTTTGTCAAACAAAGTAAGATGCTTCGCAGATGTTCAGCTGAATCCCTACGGATCTGCTGCTGCGCATTCTACCTTCTCCATGTAACGTCAAGGATGAAATCGTGGATATTTAAAGGCCCCATGAGCAGTTTGGGTAAACGGAACCTGGGGAAACATGTTTCATAGGGATCTTTATGCTACAGAAGAAACAGCTGTAAGGCCTTTTTTTTTTTTGCCAGACTCATGCAGGCTTACAGCAACTGAATACAGTGGGAAGCAGGTGGCAGTTGAGGCGTGTAAAACTGGTCCTGAATGTCCCATAAAATGTATTTTTAAAGGGGAAAGTGCAAAAATGAAGACTTCCTTTCGGCAAATGAGAACACATGTTCAGCATGGAAGGCGGTGCCTTGCCAAATCGTGCAGCATGGAGTTTCATAAATCTCTATTTGTGAGGTTTACAAACAGTCATTTCTTTTTTTCCCCCTAAGTACAGGTTGAACCTCCCAAATCCAGGACTCTCTGGTCTTTGTTGCTGAACCAAAGAGCCCTGGAGGCAGAACATGGGAGCCAGCCAGGAGAATGTGGGAGGCACCTGGGCCAGGTGGCGGCATCAGCAGGACCAGGTGGTAAATGGGGAGCCCCCACCCTTACCAGAGATCCCCTGGCATCAGCCAGGCTGGGTGGCATATGGGGAGCCCCTGCCCTGGCTGGTAAACCCCCTTTAGCAGTAGGGCCAGTGGCAACCAAGTGGCCCCTGGGGAATCCCTGGCAGGAGCAAGACTGGCCCCAGCTTTGGGTCTGGTGGCAGCTAGGTGGCCCCAGTGGCAGCGGGTCTGGCAACAGCCAAGCGGTCCTGGTGAACCCGGGGAACTCTGGTGGCAGCAAGCGGGAGCCCAGCTGTGGAAGCCTGGGAATGGGGCAGCCAGCAGTGGAGCATTTACCTCTGTTGGCCTGCAAGCTCTCTGGTTTGGGACCACTCAGGTCCCGAGGGTAGGGTAGGGTATTCACCCGGACAGTCCAGTATTTTCGCCTCCTGTCCGGTAAAAAAAATTCAGAGAATACCAGATACCTGAGATGTCTGGTATTCTCTGAATTTCTCCCTGGCCAGGAGGCAAAAATGCCAGGCACCTGGCAACCCTACAAACACTCAATGCCCTTCCTCCCCGAATTCCTCCCTGGCTCCCAACTCCCCCAGCTCTCCGACCCTAGCCTCCATGCTTATCTGGTTCCGCAAGGCTGCTGACACAAAATGTCTGCAGACCAAGGGATTGCTTCCCCTGGGTCTTAGTGCTCAACCTCTCCCCTGTTCCTATCCCTGCACTCACTCTTAAAGGGGACATGCTGTTTTAATGCTGTTTTGTTTTGTTTTATTTTATTGCTTAATAAGTCTTGGAGTCCTTTTTTGGGGGGGGGTGTGTTCGGTATTTTTGTTTCAACCATCTAGCAACTCTAGTAATGTGATTACACTAAAGAGCATGCCACGGCCTGGCGGGTTGGTATTTTTGTTTCAACCATCTGGCAACCCTACCCGAGGGTGCCAGACCAGGGAGGTCCAACCTGTATAACTTCTTAACTTTAGCAATCACTCAGTCTGCACTATTATCGTTTAGTATGATGCTACCCAGATACAGAGGTGCAATGTATTATTCCATCCAGCTATTTTCTCCTTTTGAATTTTTTTTTTTAAATAATTACCATTGATTTTTTTTTTTTAGGAATTCAAAAACCTCCCTCAAGAAGGGAATGGGAATAACACTCTAATAGACCCCTCCACCTCCGGTTACTTGCAGGCCAGTTTTACATACAAAACAGGACACTTGGACTTGTAGTTCGAGGTCTCTTTATGTGATGCTTCTTGGTTACGGTTAACCAGGGCCTGGCTGGGCTGGAGCAGCTCCCCACCCACATGTGATGCGGTGGGCCCGGCCTGTCTGGAGCGGCCTGCCATGCTGTGTGTGGGGGCACTGCAGCTCAGCAAGAGGGGGCGTGGCCCCAGCCCAGCTGGCCCAGCTGGCCCACCGCACCATGCTACGGGTGGGGCCCTGCTCAGCCCATCCAGGCTAAAAGCTGGCCCACCGCACCATGCTACGGGTGGGGGCCTGATCAGCCCACCCAGGCTAAGGCAGCTCCTCTCCCGTTTCCATTTAAGCCGTTAACTGGTTAACCATAACATTTAACTGGTTAATTCATCAAACAGGATTTTACATCCTAGTCCGGAAGCTTTTAACTCAGACTGATTGTCTTGTCTTTAGGAATGTGTATTCTGGCTTAGTTGAAAATTCCACAGCGGCCTGAGAATGTTGTCATCTGTTTAAGACTGTTCCTAATTCTTTTCCCAGGTCACCTGCATTATAGAGACTAGAGACAAAATCCACACAGCTCAACTAAGAAATGCCCTCCTCGAGCGCTACCCGACGATGACGTGGACAGAACGGTGACGGGCGAGGCACAATGGAAAGTGCTGAGGTTCTTTCACCAACACTTCATGGAAAGCTAAGCTGGAGGCACTAATAACACAATATACATCAATCTTTCCAAACTGAACAGTTAGCAAATAGCTACAGGATCAATTTGATTTCTTTTCTTGCTCAGAGTGAAGTGACTGTCCTATGGAATGAAGTAAAACTTGAGGCATTAGATTAGTTCAGGAAAGCTTTGTAGCCTCTGCTGGTGTAGGAATTCATTACTCGGGTATCAAGTGGCCGTTTGGATTTTGACTGGTGGATAGAATCCTGTGGGGTTCAATAAATAAATAGTAAGAGGATACTTTTCTTTAGTTCACAATGCAGCTCGCTCCTCACTTGTCAGATTTTGAGGCCTGCTACTTTAGCAAGCACTACCACCTCCTTCTGCTGGCTTTTTGTCTATTACTACTGGGCTCATGTTGTGTTTTCCAAGCTAGAGGTGGCACTTCATCTTCTGACTCTTCCTTGGTCATTGTATAGGTGAATTTGTGTGTGCATAAACGACCTTTGTTTTCATGTGTGGGAAGGGAGCTAATGACACATGTTAAAAACATTTTGTTCATTCAAGAGATGCTGTTGAGAGGGAAAACCCCAGCTTGGATATTTCCCGTGAGAAGATGATGATGTTTATGTGGATGTGGCTCCCAAAAATGTTGCAGTTGTAGAAGGCTGTTTTAATGAGATTAGAGCGTGTGTGTATCTAACAAGAACATGGGGTTTCTTTTATCCTGTGGAAACTTACCACAACAAACAGCACAGAAAATGTTTATTTCACCTTACTAAGGAGAGTATATTCCCCCTTTACCACCTCTGCACTTGAATTTTGGGATTAGAAGTCAAATGATGATCTGTGTCTGCTCAAAACAGAGCCTATCAATCTCATGTGACAGATTAAGTATAACATTGAGAATGCTTAACTAACCATCTTATATCTAAGCAAAGGCAACTCCAGGAGAAGAGGAAGCATAAGTCTTAAGCAAATCACTAATGCAATTAAGAAAGAACACATTGAACTGCATGTCCCTGATTACCAGTTGTTTCATAACCATCCCGAGAGCTATTAATAAATTAGCACCATGACGGGAGGAGTGACTTGAGTTAGAGAAAGCTGGAGTCTGTTACTGAGCCTAAGTATTCCAGTTGCCTCTGTAACTGGATGGCTGTGTCTAGACTGGCAAGTTTTTCCGGAAAATTGACAGCTTTTCCGGAAAACCTTGCCAGCTGTCTACACTGGCCGCTTGAATTTCCGGAAAAGCACTGACGATCTCATGTAAAATCATCAGTGCTTTTCCGGAAATACTATGCTGCTCCCGTTCGGGCAAAAGTCTTTTTCTGAAAGACTTTTGCGCAAAAGGGCCAGTGTAGACAGCACAGTACTGTTTTCCGCAAAAAAAGCCCCGATCGTGAAAAAGGCGATCGGGGCTTTTTTGCGGAAAAGCGTCCCTGGCCAATCTAGACGCGCTTTTCTGAAAATGCTTTTAACGGAAAACTTTTCCGTTAAAAGCATTTTCGGAAAATCATGCCAGTGTAGACGTAGCCAATGAGTTTCAAGGCAAGCTGAGCCATAATGGCTTCAACCAAAATCAATCCACTGGTTACAATTAAACAGAATTTGCCCAATACTCAAACGTGGGCACATGTGCCTCCAGATACTCCTGTTGGGGCTTACATGTATAAAATGGACAGCTGTGTGTTTATGTGCTATATTAGGGCTTAATCCAAAGCCCCCTGAAGTCACTGAGAGTTCCCCAGTGTGCAGGATTTGGATACCCTGTTTGGGTACCCAGGACTTAAAAACTACAAGTCCAATTTTCTATTTCCATTTCCATTTCTATAATTAAAATATGGATCATGTGTTCTGCAATGTTTATCCTCCCTCTAGTTGTTTGAAGAATATTGTGCTTGCCAGTTACACTTCTCACATAGTTTGTGGGTAAAATATCGGGTGCAGTGTCTCTAAAAAGCACAGCACAGAACTCACAGCCTGGGAGAGAAGGCTTTGGTGGCTTACAACTACTTTTGCACCCTCGTGATTGTGGGCTGGTCTGTGGGCTAGAGATTGACAGTGTAATTAGCAGCTCTAGGACCTGTAAGTTACAACAGGCTAACCAGGGATGTCCTATGGACTCTAGCACTGCCCAGAATCCCTGCAATGCTGTTCTCCTGTCCTGGAGAGTAGCCCCAAGGCAGGTCTTCACTGGGGGCAATGTCAGCTAAGATGCAACTCCAGCCATGTGAATATCGTAGCTGGAGTCAATGTACCTTAGACTGAGTTGCCATGGGGTATTCACTGTGTGGGGTCAATGGGGAAAAAAAACCTCTCCCATCCATTCCCCTTATGCTTCTCATTCTGGTGGAGTACTGGAGTCAATGAAAGGCAATCAGTGGTTGATTTAGACCCGCTTTACTAGACCCGCTAAATCAACCCCTGGGGGATTGATTGCCCAGTATAGATCTCCCAGTACACCTTCCCTTAGAACTGTTTCCACAGTACCTATGCTGGGAGAATACAGGACTTTTAGGGCTCCCTTATGTTGCTCTAACTCTTGTACCCAGTTGTCAAGGCTGTTCCCCACTCTGGCACTCCGACCGAGTGCAGAAGGTGTGGGCCTGCAAGAGAAAGTCGGGGACTGCCTGTACAGTGAATGTGGTGGAGGGGGGACTTAGCACAGAGAAACTTAACCAAACAACAAAACAAAGAAAATAACCTGATCATGACTAAATAGACATTTTCCCCTATTTACTCATACCTTGCCTCTATAGGCTTCTACTTACAACAACTCCCCAAGGTCATAAATTCCCTGCTCTTGGGAGATAGGCTGCGACTATCAACTGGGGGAAAAAAACCCTTCTTCTGAAGCCAGGAAAAAGCACTTGAAATTCTTGCAGTGAGGTAACCATCCTGCCTGGATTAATTCATCTTGTTTCTCCCAGTTCTTTCTTAGTCTTAGGCATGCATACACAGACCTGCTACTTCCCAGGATACAAGAATCAAATCAGCGCCTTAGAAAAGGTGATTTTATTAACAAAACAAAAAGATATCCTTGATAAAGTATACTTGGTTGCTATTAAACTCACACAAAGAGAACAGCAGGCAGATATATCTAATCAATTTACATTTCAACAATCTTTCTCACTGACTTCCCTGGCTTCCTGTGTGTAGATGGGATCGTGAGCTTTCATGGGCACAGCCCACTTCTTCAGATGACCCTGACATTATGGAGCAACCTATCTAAAAAGACTTTCATAAACATGCGAAATGAGAGATCCTAATAGATTCAGCCGTTGCTGCTGAAACTGATCAGGGGCTGACTACAGGAAGCCCTAGGCAGAGTTGCTCTGCCCCCAGCTTCCTGGAATCAGCCACTGATCAGTTTCAACAGCGGCTGAATCTGGATTCCTGGG